GCAGGGGAAACTGAGCTGAGCTGGGGGACTATGGGCTTTGGCCAGGGCCGCCAAGCAGCATGCAAGCTAAGGCTCCTTCCATGGTCCAGGGTGCTCTCGGGAGCTGTGACCGGCAGAGAGCCGCAGTGCCATGTGCTGGAGGGTGACAGGGCTGACTCAGGCAGGATCAGAGGCACGGGGCCAGGTGTGAGGCACTGTCAGAGATCGGGGCGGTGGGGTGGGGTGGGGGGCGGTGGGTGGACAAGCAGGTCAGTGGGGCCCTCCTGGCTGACAAAGGCAGCCCCCTCCCTTCCCTGTCCCCCCCAGAAGCCCTTTCTCCCCTCGGGGGCCCCCCCTCTCTCCCCCGCATCCAGGAGGGAGCTGGGCCTCAGCCTCCCCGAGCTCAGATGGCTGAGGCCTGCTGGCCTGTTTCCGCAGTCTTCCAGAAGTACTACTATGACCATGACTTCGGGAACTATTATACAGACAGCACTTCCCTGGTGAGCCTGCTGGGCCTCGGCACCAGCCTCAACACCAGCCTCCACACTGCCCTCAACACCAGCCTCCTGACCCGCCCGTCGCAGCTGACCTCCATGAGCCACCACGCCGAACACCCGGGCCGGGAGACCGCCGTGCTCAGCCTCCTCATCATGCTGGGCACGCTGTGGCTGAGCTATACCCTCTACCAGTTCAAGAAGAGGTGAGGGGGGGGCCTGCAGGCGAGGGGAAGGAGGCATAAGCCTCCGGGCCACACTGATACACCCACCTGTGTCCCCAGCCCCTACCTGCACCCCTGCATGCGGGAGATCCTGTCAGACTGCGCCTTGCCGATCTCAGTGCTCACCTTCTCCCTCATCTCCTCCTACGGCTTCCAGGAAATCAAGAGTGAGTCGGGGTCTGGCAGGGGGTGCGGTGGGGTGGGGTCGCCCCTCAAGGGCCGCAGGCTTGAGCAGGGGCCTGTACCTGCTGCAGTGAGCCAGTTCCGCTACAACCCCAGCAAGAGCCTCTTTGAGATGGCCGAGATGCACTCCCTGTCCCTGGGGGCCATCGCCAGCGCCATGGGCCTGGGCTTCCTGCTCTCCTTGCTCTTCTTCATCGAGCAGAACTTGGTGGCTGCCTTGGCGAATGCCCCAGAGAACAGGTTCGCAGGGCTGGGAGGGGGAGGGCCGAGCGCGTGCCCGATCCTCCAAGGGGCCACGGGGATCTGGCCACATGTGCCCCTGTCTGCTGCAGGCTGGTGAAGGGCACTGCCTACCACTGGGACCTCCTGCTCATCGCCCTCATCAACAGCGGGCTGTCTCTGTTCGGGCTGCCCTGGATCCACGCCGCCTACCCCCACTCCCCACTGCACGTGCGGGCCCTGGCTTTGGTGGAGGAGCGTGTGGAGAACGGGCACATTTATGAGACGTGAGTGCGGGCCGGGTCCCTTGAGACCTGAGGCAAGTCATGTGGGCCCCTGAGGTGGGGGTGGCCCTGGGCCACATGGGACCCAGGAAGGGAGGGAGCCCCGTGTGAGCTGAGGGGGGACCAGGCCCCACGGACCAGGGCCGGAGGTGAGCTGGTGCCCTGGGACGGCGCAGGATCGTGAATGTGAAGGAGACGCGGCTGACCACGCTGGGCGCCAGCATCCTGGTGGGCTTTTCCCTCCTGCTGCTACCCTTCCCGCTGCAGTGGATCCCCAAGCCCGTGCTCTACGGCCTCTTCCTCTACATCGCGCTCACCTCCATCGATGGCAACCAGCTCTTCGAGCGCGTGGCCCTGCTGCTCAAGGACCAGGTGAGTGTCCGGCCCCGGGAGTGAGGGGGCTGTGGGGCGGGTCACGGCTCCAGGCCTGCCCACAGCGGGTCCCTGCCGCCCACAGACCTCGTACCCGCCCACCCACTACATCCGGAGGGTGCCCCAGAGGAAGATCCACTACTTCACAGGCCTGCAGGTCCTGCAGCTCCTGCTCTTGTGTGCCTTCGGCATGAGCACCCTGCCCTACATGAAGATGATCTTCCCCCTCATCATGATTGCCATGATCCCCATCCGGTACGGACAGGCGGGCCGGGGGCGGCGGCGGCGGGGGGGCAGGGGGAGGCCCTCTGCCTCTTGCTCTCTGACCCGGTGCTCACCCTGAGGTCTGTTACCCCTCCACCCAGCTACAACCTGTTGCCCCGAATCATTGAAGCCAAATACTTGGACGCCATGGATGCTGAGCACTGACTGAGGCCCTGACGCACAGGCCCCGGCCGTATCCCCTTCACTCGTCCCTCTGGCTCTGTCCAGGCTGACTCGGTGGCCATGGGGGCCGGGGGGGCGGGGGTAGAGGTATGGGTGTCTTTTGGGGTGTGGCTCTGTGCTGCACCCCCTCCCGGCCGTCCCATCAGGCCTAGGGCATCTAGGCATGGGAAGGGGGGCGGGTGTTCCAGGGTAGGTGCCCGTCCCTGTCCCCATTAGCCTTTCGCTTGGGTCAGTAACACTGCTCAGGGCAACTTCTGTCCAGAGTAGGACTAAGCAGGACGGATTTTCTTTTGATAAAAGAGTCAGATGTCTGAAAGAGCAACCATTTCCTTGATTGTGTAAGGAACTTGCTGTATGCACACTAGAGAATAAAACTCCTGTTTCTACGCTTCCATCTCTGCTGTCCTGCCCTGCCCCAGCCTCAGGGCCACCGGAGGATACAAGTCGGATGTAAAGGGGAGGCGGAATGAAAAGGACCAGGGTTTGTTGAGTGCCATAGGCTGTCACCTCCAGCCCCACACCATGGATATTGGCCCAACAGGGGACTGGGGAAGATCCAGGAGGCCCTGGCGCTGCTGGGTTGCCAGGAAACCTTGCAGGGGAGGTGTCGTTCTGGGAAGAGCATGTGCAAGGGCCCAGAGGAGAGGGCTTGGGGCCAGTGCCGAGCCACGGCTGGTGGAAGAGAGATGAGCGGGCCTGGCAGCCCTGAGCCTGGGCTCCCAGAGGCAGCTGCAGAGCCACGGTGGTGACGAACGCCCTGTGTGGGCTGGGGCTGGGGCAGGGGCTGCACCCCGCACCAGGGCACGCATAGTGGGGCTGAACAGAAGTGGAAGACTCTGAGGGCAGGATGTGGGGATTGGTTTGATGGAAGGGAGAAGGGGCTGTGTTCCTGGCTTGGTCACTTGGTGGTTGGCCAGAGGCCCCATGACCTACCTTATAGGACTTTGGCTTCCCCAATACACCAGAGACCAAGGGCGCAGATGAGAGAAGACATCTGCTACCTCTAAGCTGAAAAGGACTCACATCTAGATATGCTAAGAATTCCTGCAAACCAACAACAAAAAAAAGACGAGGACTCCAACTCCAATAGAAGAGGCAAACCTGTGAGGGGGCGGCGGGGGGGCCCAACAGTAACAGGGGCGGCAGGAATGCTCGATGCCCTAGGTCACTTGACAAATGCAGCCCCAAGGGGGCTGGCATCGTCCACGTGGAACTGGCAACACTGAGCCTCCCAAGGCCGGCCAGCCGCGTCGGGGGGGTGGGTACCCTGGTGCACGGATGGGGGGAGGGGAGGAGCAGGGTGATGCTCCCCGGCAGGGGGGCGTGGGGACGAGCATGTTCAGCGTGGGTAGGGATGGGTAGCAAAGGGGGACGGTGTCCTGTGGGCCTGGGACATCACTCTTTAAGAGTTGATAGCAAGCACCGAGGGCTGCCCGGCCCTAAGCTCCATGTACCCACCCCATGCAAGCGGCATGTGATCCTTTGGGGCCCCCTCCCCAGTGGCCTGGGTGTTCCCTCCAGGGAGGGCCGTATCCAGAATCACCAGGCGGGGAGCAGACGAGCCCCTAGCACCCCATGTCTGAGCCTCAGCCAGACAGCCCTTCCTGGGGAAACAACCCAGCTGAGCCTCACAGGCACATGGGGAGCAAAGGAATGATGTTGTGTCCTCACCCACACACATTGATGCACCTTAGGGGAAGAAACAACAGTTAAATGCAGGCCATGGGCCATGCTGCCAGGACTGAGGAACAGTGACTGGAAGTGACATTCTCTACACCTGCCTCCGAGCCCAGAAATAAGCCTGGGAGCAACCCCCCAGCATCACGCTTCCTCCTCCCCCGTTGCTTTTCTGAGTATTCTTGGGGTGGGCACCTCCTCCTTACCAAAGGAACACCTGCAGTAAAGGAAAGGGATCCTCCCCAGGCCCTTCAAGTCCCTCCCCAGGATTGGCTTCTAGGGCACCGTGAGGACCTGGGGCAACTGAGGCAGGCTTCCCGAGGCGCCTGGAAGTCCCAGGCTGAACCACGTCATGTCATCTCAACTGGGGTGGAGACTCCATGCCCCCTCCCTGCCATAAAAACGAACTTGGCATTTTTTTTTTAAGATTGTATTTATTTATTTGCCAGAGAGAGAGAGAGAGCACAAGTAGGGGGAGTGGCAGGCAGAGGGAGAAGCAGGCTCCTTGCTAAGCAAGGAGCCCGATGTGGGACTTGATCCCAGGACCCTGAGATCACGACCTGAGCTGAAGGCAGACGCTTAACCTAATGAGCCACCCAGGCACTCCAGAACTGGGCATTTTCATCAAAAACCAACATTTTAGGGGCGCCTGGGTGGCTCAGTAGGTTGTGTCTGACTCTTGATTTCAGCCCGGGTCATGATCTCAGGGTCGTGGGATCAAACCCCACGTCCAGCTCTGCACTGGGCATGGAGCCTGCTTGAGATTCTCTCCCTGTCCCTCCCTGTCACTCACTCTCTCTCAAAAAACAAAAAACAAAAAACAAACCAAAAAAAACCCACCCCAACATTTTAGCTGCTCTAATGTCATACTGAAATACAGCCGAAGCACTCAACTTCCACACCACCCACCCCGCAACCCAGCAAACACCATGGAGGCCAGCTGGGTGGTGGCCTCCCTCTGTGGGGGGTGGGCAGCATGGGTCTGGCATGGAAATGGTCAGCTCACAAGCTGAAACTTGAAGAATGAGAAGAAAGATGCGATACTCCAGTGAGCAGGGTCATGCGAACACCCTCGGCTGCTACCCTTGTCCCACCATCCCCCACCCCACCCCACCCCCCCCAGGTTTCCTGCTCCTGCCCAAAGAGATTCAGGAAACACACAACTGCCTGGGGCAGGTTTCAAAGCTGATACATCCAGTTTATTCTGGAGGCAAGTGCCTCCCAGTATTTTTATTTCTACCACTTTAAAAACGTCGAGGGCGATTTATGGGGTTCTTCCTGAACCCTCGGGCCTGCTGCGGCCAGTTTAACATCCCAAGTCCTTTCAGGATCCCAGGCCAGGAGGCTGTAGGAGGGCCCACTGAATCCCCCAGGGCCCCAAGTTTCTCCCAACAGAGCCAGCTGCTCCTCCAGGGCTGGTGAGGCTGTCTCAACCCGCCCCCCCAGGAAGCGGTGATCCACACGGCAGTACTTGGAGGGCTGCCTGTCTGATGATGGAGGTGGCAGGCTAGCCTTCCCCAGCTCCCCGGTCGGGGCGATCACCACCAACTACCGGGGGAGCGAGGCCGCCGAAGTACTTCTGCAGCTCAAGCAAGGCCCGGAAGCGATGGGAGATGGCATTCTTCTCTGCTTTGGGCATCTCTGCATACCTGAGGGGTGACAAGAGCAGTTCAGAGGAGCCCGGATTCAGGGGGTGCGCTTCTCTCACCCATCCTGGAGCCCAAAGCTCAAGGAGTCGCCAGGAAAGGGTGGTGGGGCCACCAGCTCCTGGCAGCCAGAGTTAGTTTTTAAAAAAACCAGAGAGAGTTTTAAATTTCCCTGTAGGTGGAAACCCATATTAACGAATGTGGAAGGATGTTAGACTTGCCCTAGTGTGTCCAAAAGTCATTACGGGAAGCCAGGGACAGGGGGATGAGCTGCATGTTTCATCAGCTTTGTCATCTGTTGACAGGAAGCAGTGGGGCCTGATGGAGCAACACAACAGTCTCCTCTTGTGTACTGCGGGGGTGGCGCGGGACAGCCGGCCGGCGGCCCCTCCTCTGTGTCAGGCCTCCAGCGAGGTGAGGACCACAGCCCATCTGGGTGCTGCCGACCTGTGCTGTCCAGTGTGTGGCCGCTAGCCACGAGTGGCCATGTATGTTCAAATCAACCGCAGCTGAATAAAACTACTTTCAGTTCCTAAGTCATACTGGATAGCCACGTATTGGATCGAACAGTGGAGAAACAGAGCCTTTCTCTATCTTGCGTTCCTGGAGGGTGCTATTTCACGTCGTCCTCAGCCCTGTCTGGCTACTGCGAGGCCTCAGGCCACCCTCCCTAGGGGCCCCTCAAGCCTGGAACACTTGATTCCAGTAATGGCCGACAAGTCCAGTGCAAACAAGGGGGAAGTAATGAGGACACTTGGCACTGTGGGGGTTTCGTGCGGTGCCCCCAAAGGCCTGAAGTATTAACATTTTCCCAAACTGCACGGGGAAGCCAGACCATCCCACAAAACTGTCAGGTTTAGACGTGACGAGCCAAGGGCAGAGGGGAAGGCACCTGAGTCACACAGCTGCTCCGTGGGGAGCTGGAGCCCAAGGGCCCAGAACTCCCAGCTCTGCCTGGCTGCCTCCCCGGCTGGAGATCAGCCCATGCGGATTCCTCGTGTCCACCCCAGCAGAACTGCCTTCAGCTGCAGCAGCAGCCTACGGCCGGGCCCCGCGTATCTGCACGCCTGCACTTGGGCAGGGCGCCGACCCAACCCAGACCATGGCTGTCCCAACCCCACCGCCCCGGAAGAAAACAGGGCTCCTTACGTCTGCTCATATCCATCAGGCTGAAAGCAAGGATCCCAGCCAAAGTCTCGGCAGCCTCGGGGCGCCACGATCTGGCCCTGCCAGGGGAAAGGGGTGGGGAACAGGTGTATCACTGGGCACAGAGGAAATGCCCTAGGAGGAGGAGGGTAGCCAGTTTGAGTCTGGCTAGTTTATGTACTTGGTTAAGCCCCATGTATTCAAAATACATGGTTTCAAGAAGTCCGTGGTACCTGCAAATGTTTGCTGAATACATAAATAAAATGCAGTGGGACCGCTCTCCCTGCACGCGCACGCACGCGCACACACACACACACACCCTCCCTGCACGCACGCGCACACACGCTCTCCCTGCACACACGCGCGCGCTCTCCCTGCACACGCGCACACACACGCGCGCTCTCCCTGCACGCACACACGCGCGCGCTCTCCCTGCACGCACACACACGCTCTCCCTGCACACACGCGCACGCACACACGCGCGCGCCCTCCCTGCATGCACGCGTGCGCGCGCGCACACACACACACCACAAACCTAATCAGTCCACTGACACCCCTGGGGCCGCTCTCCCTCTCTCTAGCTCTGACAAACTGTGACCTCACTGAAGAGAGTCAATTTGGAAAAATTGACAGAAAACACGTTCTCTGAATAGGAAGTTATGAGGCCCTGAACTATGCACACAAGCCCTATGACTGCTACTCATTTTTATTACGTTAAGTGAAATAAACTGCTGCATTTCTCAAACTACAAAGGAGGCTCTAACAATTAAATGAAACAGAAATTACTCAGCACATTGTTCGATACATAAATGAGCTCAGTAAATACAGACTGCGATAGGCACATTCCAACAGGAAAATGTTACAAAGAGAACCTATTTAATTCAGCACCGTGAGATGTCATGTTGCCATGAAGGTTAAAATATAATAATTTTAAAAATACAAGAGAGGGGCGCCTGCGCGGCTCAGTCGTTGTCTGCCTTCAGCTCAGGTCATGATCTCAGGGTCCTGGAATCGAGCCCAGGAATCTGCTTCTCCCTCTCCCTTTGCTCCTCCCCCTGCTCGTGTGCACTCTCTCTCTCAAATAAATAAAATCTTTTAAAAAATAAAAAATACAACGGAAGTGGTAGAAAATGGGCATTAGCCACATAACTGCCAAGTTGTTCAGCCCAAAGGCAGATTCCGCTGGTGCTGGTGGGGAGCTGCATGACCGAGGTCCATTACTGAGCCACTCTGAACCTCGCCCACACCACAGATGGTTTTCTGGTTCAACCTATATCGGGGCAGGTAGTGTTCTCAGCACTGGAGCCGTACCAGGCCTAGCCTTGCCCTCGTCAAATGGACCTCTTAAGCAAAACAGGCTTTACACCAGTAAACAAATGAACAATTACAAAATGCAAAGTGCCTTAGAAGGAACAAACAGGGAGCGGGGCTCAAGAATAACAGGATGGAGTGACCTAGATGGGGAGCTCAGTGAGGAGACCACTTTGGCCACATAAAGTGGTTGGCAAGAACGTTCCAGGTGGAGGGCACAGCTAGTGTTGGGACCCAAGATGGGGGCGGGCTCGGCACAGGCGTTGTTGAAAGGACAAGATGACTGGGGTTTGGAAAGCTTGAGTGAGAAAACAAAGAGAAACAAAGCCACCTCAGGTAACGCAGGGGCTAGCAAGCCACAAAGTGCTTGAAGCTGGGGAGACGATCGGGAATAGTGGGGACCCCAATAGTGGGTCACCCCAGTGACCAGCGCCCATCGGCAGGGACTACGGTTGTTCACACTTCTGATGTTTTAGAGTACATTTCTGTGAATGTAGCAGACATCTAGAATTAATTCTTTAAAAATGTAACCCAGCAATTAGGATGCAGCCATCATGGTTCTGCGTAAATATCCAAAGGAACCGAACACAGGATCTCCAGAGGCACCCCTGTGTTTGTAGCAGCGTTACTCAGACTAGCCCAATGTGGAAGCAATCTAAGTGCCCACGGACAGATAAACGTACAAAACAAATGTGTAGATACATACAATGGATATCATTCAGCCGCAATAAAAAGGAGGGATTCTGTCACCTACCGCACACCTCCCACACAATTCTGTGTACGCTACCACACAAATGATCCTGGGAGGACATTATGCTAAGAAACAAGCCGGCCACAAAAAGACAAACACCATACGCAGGATTCCACCTAGATGAGGGGTCTGAAGTTGCCAAACTCTTAGAAACAAAAGCGGAAGAGCAGTTGCCAGGGGTGGGTGGCGAGGGGGGAAGGGGGAGTTTTTATTCAATGGGTATAGTTTCAATTTTGCCAGATGAGAAAGTTCAGGTCTGTGGTACAGCAGAGCACATATAGTCAATACCATTGTACTGAACTCGTAACAATGGTGAAGATGGTAGTTTTTGTTTTTTACCACTATTAAAAAAAAAAAATTAACCAGGCAGGGCATCGTGAAATGTCTATGGACAGCACCCAGGGTGGTGTGGACCCTGTGGGAAGCAGGTGAACCCAAGGCTCTGATAGGCAGGCGGGGCTGTGCCGAAGGCTAGCTGGGGAAGAAATGAACTGGGTAAAGTTAGATTCTACAGGAACATGAGAAGTTGGAAAGGATGCGAGATGCTCTAGGGAAGTCGTCACCTCAACACTTGGACAGGGACGGGAGCTGGAAGAAATTTGGGCTGTCCGTGTAGCCCCGGGAGCGGTCACCTTCAGCTTCCACATCTGCTTCTTAGGAGGGGACACAGTGCAGAGCTCTGGGTGGACCAGGCCTCAACGGCCAGGAGCCACCGTGTATCTCTGGAACACCAGCCTCAGAGGTTAGATAGATTTCAGGATTGACAGCACTCCTAGTTGTGATGCTCAGGGGCATGTCTGGGCAAAGCTCTGGGACCTAACTGACAACGAGCCCTTCCCACCACCCTCCTGCCTTAGACCCTGGGCCATTGGCTGGAGCCGCGGCGCCCCCTGGCGGCCCGCGGGGGAGGCAGCGTGAGTACGCACCAAGGTCCGGCCCCTGAACAGGCGCACCGGCTCGCTGGGGTCCCCGGTGCTGAGTGCGAACGTGCAGAGCGCGTAGGCAGACTTGTCCTCGAACCCAGCCAGGAGCTGGTAGAGACCTGCGGGGGGCGGGGGGCGGGGGGGGAGGGGGAGTGTAGTGATTCCTGTACAGCTCAGCTCCCAGCCTTACTCCCCACCCCTGAGGCCCTGGGAAGCCACCCAATTTGGGGAGCTTATACATGTCATCGGATAGGTTTTGTGCTTAATACCCTGGAAATTGGGTGATGGGGACATGGAGCTCGTTATTCTATTCTACTACTGTACTAGTTGGGACCCCTCCCCCAGACCGCCTCCGGATTCTCAATTCCCAACAGCTAAGAGGGAAAAGAGATTAATACCTTCAGGCTTTAACTTCTCCAGAAACCACTTTCTGCAAGAGAAATAAAGGTGAGTCAGACACCAGGTACAGATGGAGCTTCCTACCATCTTCTCTGGGCTGCACCCCCCCCCCCCCCCCCCCAGGATTAGAGCCCCAGGACAGCCAGGGGGCATGGTAATGTCTTAACTCAAAATGAAGAGGAATAATCCAATAGGAAAAAGGGTGGAAGTAAACAGGCAATGCACAGAAGAATCAATAAAACCTATGAAGGCCTCAACCTCATTGGTAATTAGAAAAATGTAAATTCAGGGACGCTGGGTGGCTCAGTCGGTTTAGCGGCTGCCTTCAGCTCAGGTCATGATCTCAGGGTCCTGGGATCAAGCCCCACATCAGGCTCCCTGCTCAGCAGAAAGTCTGCTTCTCCCTCTCCCTCTGCCCACCCCCCATCCTACTGCTTGTGTTCCCTCTCTCTCAAATAAATAAAATCTTTAAAAAAAAAAAAAGGAAAATGCAAACTCAATTCAAATGTGGTAACATTTCACATTCCCCACACGGCAAAACATTGAAGTCCTAATACTCAGGGCTGGTGAGGGTACGGAGCCACATACATATATGGGTGCTATTGCCTTGGCAAACATATCGGCAATCCAGAAGTTCAAGATAAACATATCCAAAACCCAGCAAAAGCACCTCTGTGCCTACGCCCTCCAACCCCAGCAAGGAGCATTCAAAGTGGGGTATGTGTACCCTAGAGATACACAAAGGCCATCTGAGGGTGTCCAGGGCACTGGATAGTTTTAAGGAAATCCATTTTCAAATCTCAACTTCCTTATTTCCTTTTTCCCAAAACTGATCTGCCACGAATGTACCTCTCTAGCAGGTGGGTTCCACTGGCCCATCTCCACTTACACAATCACATTCTCACACTTTACAAAAGAAAGAAAGGCATGCCTCTCCCAACCCTAATCCCTCCTCAGGACAATGTGAAATATTGGTATTGACACCAAGACAGTGAATGACCCACAATATCAGGTAACCAATCATTTCGAAGTTCAGGTGATTTTGTGGCCAGGGCCCTGCGGGGGCGGGGGGGGAGGGGGGACTCACATGTAGGGGCCAGGGAGGCCCCCGAGGGCGTTGAAGCACAGACAGGTGTCCTCCACCAGTACAGGCCCCTGTACCTGCAACACAAGGAGGCGAAGCCCCGAGACCTGTGACCAGAGTAGGCCCTGTCCCTAACCTGAATTCCCAGGCCACCCAGGCTGGGGCCAGGCCCAAGCTAGTTGGGGTCTACAGCAGCTGCAGTTAACAGCTATAGGAAACCGCCCCTGGCTGATCTCTTATCTTCCTTCTAGAAACAGGAACACCAAAAACTTGGAAGGTTGTAAAGCTTACTCCAGGCACAGCAACCAGAGAGGTGGGATTCATACTCAGACAGCCCGACTCTTCAGGAAGTGTTCTTTCCCAATTCCACAGAGATGTGTGAGTGTGGGGGCAGATGTGTGTGGGGAGAATGCAGGCACTGGAATGTATGTATCTGATAATCGGAGACAAGTGTGTGCATATGGGTACGTGTGTGAGCTTACGCGCGCGTGTGTTGGTCTGGGGATACTAGGCAGTAAAGGCTGAGAAAGAAAGGTAGTATTCCTCTGCCAACATTAACTGACCCCAATCTAGCCAGGCCTGGGCAGGTCCTTGAAGTTATGACCAATTGTGCCCACCCTATTATTCTCTGCCTGAGCCAGCAGGTACAGCCCCCAGGAGCCCCCAGGATGAGAGGAGCAAGTGTGGGACACGCGAGGAGCAAGCACCTGGCGAGCTGCCTCCCGACACTTCTGTATGGAAATCTCATCAGGCTCTCCCTGGTACTCCGGCACTTGTTAGAGAAACAGATATACAAAGAGAGTCAGGTCACAGGGAGACAGAGAAATCAAACCATCTTTCAGAAATAAAACAAAACAGAGACATACGGTCAATTTTCTGTGCCACCAAAGTGCATGGAAACTTATCTCCCAGAATCTGAATGACCTGTTCCAAAATGAAAGAATATTTGTCACCATTTGTTAACAATTCCCTGTTACTACAGAAGCTGTCACCCACCTTTCTCTTCAGGTAACTCTCCTGACAGCCCCCTAAAGCTTAGTTAAGTCAGGCCCATGAGCCTCACTCCAGACTTCAGGGTCCCACTCCAGCAGATCAGCTCCCCCATCTCCTCAGTCTCCTACCCTCCTACTTCAGGTCTCTTTGTTGATGTTAAACCCCCACCCAGGGCACCCCCTTCCCTTCTCCCTGCTCCCTAAAACTCTACGTAACCTCCTATTCTGGCAATTCTCCATCAGGGGTTACTCAGAATTCAAGAGGCCGGCGAACCCGCATGGGGAAAAAAATGCCTTTATTTTCACTAACCCTTAGCTGAAATTTAGCATCTCTTTCAATTGTGAGTAAATATAGAAAACCAAAATAGCATCAGCAGTTCCTGTGACCTTTAAACCTATTAAAATCACAGATGTCATATCCCATTTACAGCTGTAGCAAATATCTCAAAATATTTACAACCCTACTTGAAAATTATGATAACTACACACAGCTAAATTGAATCTTTTAATGCATTAAAAAAATGTATGGGTGGCTGGGTGGCTCAGTCATTAAGCGTCTGCCTTCGGCTCAGGTCATGATCCCAGGGTCCTGGGATCGAGCCCCGCATCGGGCTCCCTGCTCAGCGGGGAGCCTGCTTCTCCCTCTCCCACTCCCCCTGCTTGTGTTCCCTCTCTTGCTGTCTCTCTTTGTCAAATAAATCTTTTTTTTTTTTTTTAGATTTTATTTATTTGACAGAGAGATAGAGAGTACAAGTAGGCAGAGAGGCAGGCAGAGGGAGAGGGAGAAGCAGGCTCTCCGCTGAGCAGGGAGCCCGACGCGGGGCTCGATCCCAGGACCCTGGGATCATGACCTGAGCCGAAGGCAGCCGCGTAAACGACTGAGCCACCCAGGCGCCCCAAATAAATAAAATCTTAAAAAAATAATGAATGAATCCCCAGTATTTAAATAAATAAATAAGTGTATGTTAACTAGATCACAAATACTTATATTGAGAATTGTACTTTAATAGAATTAATTTCCTTTGTAACCCTATGTATTTTACTTTGTACATTTAAAAATACTTTCCTGAAAAACGGTCCACAGGCTTCATCAGCCTGCCAATGGAGTGCTATGGGATGAAGAGTTAAGACACTCTGTTCTAAGCCAACTTCATCTAACCCATCTTCTTCAGTGAGCCTCCTCTGGCCACTCGAGCCCCTTTTTAAAACATAGGAGGCCACATTCTCAGACACAGAGATGGGCTTGGGAGCTGGCACCCACTATCCTGCATGGGGCCCTTTTCAGGGTGGTGCTACTTGTCTGTTTGACTGGCCTGGCCTCAGGATACCAAACTTTTTATCGGCACGGGGCTCTGGCTTTTGAGTAGGACACCCTGTACTGTCACAGAAGTGCCATCATTCCCTATGCTGTGGACAAATGAAGGGTCGGTCCCCTAATGACTGGGTCCCACTCGTATCTAGTGGATGTCACCCTGATTCTGCACCATGACTCACCTCCTTGGCCATGGCTGACTGAGCAGGGGCAAACTCTTCACCCAAGCAAGGTTAATGACAGCTATTGTATGGCAGAAGCCTCACTGCCCCCTCCACCAGGAGCGAAGTAAGCAGAAAAATGCTTACTAGGAAAAGGAGGAGCATCCAGAGAGAATTAGGAGGACAAGATAGGCCCTCGGGAGACTCCTCAAGTCTTGTGGGACATCTTAACATTGTATTCCCAGAAGAGTCACCTAGTGGTTGACATGAGTTCCCTGTGTGTCTCTATTATTTGCAGCCAAAGGCTATCCATCCACCCGCAGAATCCTCACAGCTAGCCACAAGATTCCCAGAGTCAGGAACTTTGGGGATCTAATGCCTTCTTCACTCCTCCTCCCTATTGCATTGTGAAACCGACCTTCCAAATCATCTCCCTTTCACAAAAGAGGAAAAGAGGCTGAGGACCACATTTCTGGACCGTGATGGGGCGTGGACGGCTCAGTTTGGTTGCCTGTCCCACGCTCTGTCTCGCCCCTGCCACCCCCAGCTCTGCAGCGGGGTCTGGATCAGCTCCAGAGGGGTGTCAAGAGTCCCGGTTTGGGGTCTAGGCTAACAGATGACGTTTGGGACAGATACTAAGAACCCGGCACTCCTTTGGCTCCCGCAGCTCCCGAGCTCGCAAGCCTGGATCCGTCAACGCCTTAATTCTATTAAAGCCAACCACCGGCCCGCTCCACTCCGCACACACGGCCCTTTCACTCAGCGCGGCCCAACACGTTCCACACGCCCGGGTCTGCCTCTCCGTGCCCCCTCCGCCTGGAGGCCGCCTCTCCGCCCGATCCCCAGCGGGCCCTACCACCCGCTACCCCCAGCCGCCTACTGGTCGGCCCCCCGCCCCCTCCCGGCACCTCCTCCAGCTTCTTGGCGTTCCCCGTGACAAACACGATCTTTTTCCCGGCCAAGGGGGCCGCCATGCCGACTCCCGACTGCCCTGCAGACCCACCGGAAGTTATCTACTTCGAGCGGCAGGCACTTCCGGCTGACGCGGAAGCGGGCTGCGCAGCTTCCGGCCTAGGCTTCGGGACCGGGGATCCTCGGGCTCCCAGCGAGCGCCTAGCGTGTTAGCTGCAGCCTAGTTGCCTTCGGGCGAGAAGGCCGTCCTGGACGCCCGGCTTCCTTGCTCAGACCTTGGGGAACAGAGCGCCCCTTTTCCGGATGACCAGTCTGGGGCGCCGGGCGCTTGAAGGGAGGGAAATGGCGCGGCCCGTCTGCGCCGGAATTGCGGGGTCTTCCCGGGACTGGCGGTCGAGTGTGTTGAAACCAGGCCCTCCCGCCAAGGGGCGCTCGCTTCGAAGACGAGAAGAGACCGTTGTAGCCACCGGCCCCACCCCTGCTTTCTCCCCTCTCTGGGGAGGGGGCACCGAGGGAGGCAAAGAACCTGCACCGTAATGAGCTTGCAGTCCTGTGCTCCGGACGGTTCGCCTTCTCCGCGGGCACCTCCAAATCTGCCCCTGAGAGCTGTTTTCTTTTGGGCAAGGGCTGCAAACCTGACCTCACCTCCAGCCCTACTCCCTTCTTTCCTTGCCCGCCAGCTCTGATCATCTTAATTGTGGATTAAAAAACTAACTTGTTTTAAATTAAGGTATAATTAACATATAACATTATATTAGTTTCAGGTGTACAACTAATGATTTGATACTTGTATACATTTGGAAGCATTCACCTAAGTCTGGTTAACCTTGATCACCCTATAGTTACATATTTTTTGTGTGTGATGAGAACCTTTAGATCTACTCTCTTAGCAAACTTTCAAATATGCAGTGCAGTATTGTTAACTGCAGTCACCATGCTACCATGCTGTACATCTCCAGGATTATACTGGAAGTTTATACCTTTCAACCCCCTTCACCCATTCTCCTGTAACCCTACCACCAATCTGCCCTCTGTTATCTATGAGCTTATTTTGTTTTTGTTTTTTTATAATTTTTTTTTAAAGATTTATTTATTTGAGAGAGTGAGAGTACATGAGAGGGGGGAGGGTCAGAGGAAGAAGCAGGCTCCCCGCCGAGCAGGGAGCCCGATGTGGGACTCGATCCCGGGACTCCGGGATCATGACCTGAGCCGAAGGCAGTCGCTTAACCAACTGAGCCACCCAGGCGCCCATGTTTTTGTTTTTTCAGATCCGACTACTTGCCTTTGAATTTAAATTTGGCATAGCCTAAAGCAAGCCCGGTCTTTTCACTCATCTCCCAAGCTTGGGACCTCAGTATTTCAACTCCTTCATTCCGTCATCCCTACAGCCTCTCACATCTATCATGCCTTCTCCATGCCCACTGCCTCAGCCAGATCTTTGCCCCAGAATGTGCCACTTTGACATAAAGATTGAGTTAAAAGTAATAAAAACAGCAGATGCAGTAAAGGCTCTCTGCCTCCCCCATAACTCCCAAAATTTACATTGGAAAGGAGAGCCTGCAACAGGAAGAAAAGTATTAACAGAGACCACCCACCCTCCCCCCAGGAACTTATCTTATTTGCATAATAGAGCAACCTTGTTTTTCCCAAATAATCCCTTTTCACCTTGCTAATGAGTTTTTTTCCCTTTGTATCCTCAGGCCCCTACCCCTTCTTAGTTCACAGAAGCATCCTGTTGCCTCATTGTCTTTGGAATCTCTTGTCTATGTGGATTCCCCTTACACATGCCTGTTAAATTTTAGTTTCTCCTCATAATCTGTCTCATGTCAGTCTGATTGTAAGGCCAGTGAGGACCATAGGGCAGAGGAAAGTCCTCCCAGTAGCAAAGGGTAGAAAGTGCCCCAACAGACCCACCTGTGCCGCAGGCCTTGACCCACTGCTGAACAGTTGAACAAGTCACCTGTCTCCTTCCTCCAGGGACTCAGCAAGCACAGATTAACAGCAAGGGCAGATTCAGGGCCCCTCCCTCCTGGTGAGGGAACTCCTGACAGAGGAACATCAGAGGTCAGAGGTCTGTCAGTGCCTGGATGAGCTATTTTGCTTAATGTTCTTGTCCCCTGATAATCTCAGATTTTTTTAGACCCCAGGATTTGTTAAGGAATAGCAAAAAAACTGCATGTTCTCTAAAAACCTTTGCTCAATGACCTTACCATAGCAGGAATATTGCACAGGCCGAAAGGCATTAACTGTGTCCTCAAGTGGTCTGGAAGGCCTGTTCAGGCAATTCGATGAAGCAATGTGTGAGGCTCCTTGGAGATCTGACCATAGTGATTTAGATTCAGGGAGCAAGTGGCCGTCCTTTGTGTCATCTGTCTTCCTTCTTCATGAAGTCATGAGGTATCCCCAGGGAGGTGGAGAGGCAGAGGAGGTTCCCCTCTGCAATGTTAACCTCCTGACTGTTGAAAGCTTTGGCAACAACCACAGGCAAGAACCTGTTTGCCAGCGATGTGCATCCAGTGCCCCACACAGACAAGTACCATGTGATATGGTCAGTGTAGTGCCCCTGGGAGCACTAGGTGCGGGAGGGATCATCAACCAGGTTGGGGAGGCCAGGACAGTCATCTAGCAAACTGTGGGAGTCCACAAAGGGTTGTTAAGCAGGGACTATTGTGAGTAGGTATTCACTTTAGCTAGACCTCACTCTAAAACTGAAGGCCTAAGTACAAGAGCTTGTGGGGAGAGAGGAAATACATGAATCTCTGAAATCGTATGCAAAAGTTTGTGTATATGTGATCTTTAGTCAGGACTCTTGGTTGCAGTGACAAAAATCTTCCTAGTCAACAACAACAAAAAAGAAATGTACTGATTGGTTTAACTGATGAGCAAAGTATAAAGAGATAGTCGAGTTCATAGTTTCTGTGAACGGAAAGGGAATTGTGTTAGTTCATTCATTAAATGGACTATGCTAGAGTTCAAATATGTGAATTTTTACTCTCTAAACTCGAGTAAGGAATATCACAGGAAATCTCTTTGGAATCATATACCCCTCAATTGTGAGGGAAACCCAGTTAAGCAAAGAAAGATGATTCTTGCTCTCAAGGGAGCTTGTTAGGTCCTATCAGTTCTACCTCTGAAATAGTTCTCCAATCAGTCCCTCCACTCCACCTCCACTGCTACTGTCTGAACCCAGCCCTGTTCTGTTCCTACTGGACCAGGGCAGCAGCTGTCTCACTGTTGTTCTCCCGGCCACCTTCCTCCCGGTCCACAAACCTTAAATAATATGCTTGGGGTCCAGGACTCCGAGAACCTGAGAACTCTAAATGAAAACTGAAAAAACGGTATCTGTTTGAGGCAGCAAGGAAGAGTTAGCTCTATTGACAGTTTGTTTTGACCTTCCAGAAACTTTCTGTGCATGTGCAAATTACACACAAAAATGTAGAAAGTCTTAATTTTTAGTTTTTTTTTAAAGTTCATGTTTTTTAGAAATCTCTACACCCATTGTGGGGCTCAAACCCGTGACCCTGAGATCGTGAGTTTGAATCACATGCTCTTGCAACTGAGCCAGCTGGGTGCCCCATAATTTTTAGTTTTTTTAAAGATTTTGTTTATTTATTTGAGAGAGGGAGTGTGTATGTGCGTGCGTGCATGCATGTATGCACAAGCAGGGGGAGAGACAGAGGGAGAGGGAGAAGCAGACTCCCCGCTGAGCAGGGAGCCCGATGTGAGGCTCTATGCCAGGACCCTGGGATCATGACCTGAGCCGAAGGCAGACGCTTAACCGACTGAGCCACCCAGGCGCCCCCAAAGACAGATGCTTAATTGAGCCACCCAGGCGCCCCTAATTTTTAGTTTTTATTTTTTTTATTTTATATATATTTTTAAAGATTTTATTTATTTATTTGACAGAGAGAGACATAGCAAGAGCAGGAACACAAGCAGGGAGAGTGGGAGAGGGAGAAGCAGGCTTCCCGCAGAGCGGGGAGCCCGATGTGGGGCTCCATCCCAGCACCATGGGATCATGACCTGAGCCGAAGGCAGACGCTTAACGACTGAGCCACCCTGGCGCCCTAATTTTTAGCTTCTAATAAAATTTTTTATTATGGGAAATTCCACACTTAAACAGAAATGTCAAACTTACAAAAAATAGAAAAGAGCAGTATAATGAGCCCCAATATACCCATTACCTAACTTCAATAATTTTCAACATTTGCTATTTTTATTTCACCTATCCTGGCCTATTTGCTTGCTTAAAATTTAAAAATGTAAATTATGAAATATTCCAGAGTTACAGAAAATAATAAAACAGATGCAGAAGTTCCCACTATTCCAGCTTAACAAATGTTAAAATGTTCACATGGTGCCATCTTCTTTCAAATCTTCCACTTCATTGCATTGGTCCTTGGATCTTTGTCTTATCCCACATACAAAAAGCTTCATACTGCTCTTACAGTAGCTGCTATTTGCTTTTTCAAAAATCTTGAGTTTACATACCGTCCCCAGTATTTTTTTTTCAAACGACTTTATTGAGGAATAATTAGTTCCGAGTTCCTAAAAATTCTTAAGAATTAAAGGGAAATTTAAATTCCCTGTGGGTACTTAAATTTTGAGTGCTCACTATGGAAAACTGGGTCAATAATTCTCGTATTAGTCTAATAAAGCTAATTTTATGCTAAAATAGGTATAAAATTGCAGGTCTGGGTACAAAAATATCATAATTCATTTAAATATAAGATTTGGTCTCTTCCCCTCCCCTCTCTTCTTTTAACGAAATCATATGTCACAGATACAGGCAACGCTCTGCCCCTAATCCCACCCATCGTTTTCCCTCCTAACACCTGTCCTGAAGTTGGTGTTTATCATTCCTAAGCATCTTTTTGTACTTTTTCTACTTATGTATGTTTCTGTAAACGCTCTGTGATGCTGCTTAATGCTTTTAAAACACATATAAATGTTGTCTCACTGCACAAAATCGTTTGCGATAATTTCCAGGTATGAGTATTTGCATGCCCCGCAAATTCCTCTAAGAGTAAAAAATTGAGGCGTCTCAGGGTGCCTGGGTGGCTCAGTCGTTAAGCGTCTGCCTTCGGCTCAGGTCATGATCCCAGGGTCCTGGGATCCAGCCCCACATCGGGCTCCTTGCTCCGCGGGAGGCCTGCTTCTCCCTCTCCCACTCCCCCTGCTTGTGTTCCCTCTCTTGCTGTGCCCCTCTGTGAAATAAATAAAATCTTTAAAAAAAAAAAAAAAAATTGCGGCGTCTACGCAGTGCGCGGCCTGGGCGGGGCCCCGGCTGGTGGGCGGAGTCTAGAATGGGAAACGGGAGGGGCCATATGGCCGTTGGGCGGGGCCCGGGAGATGCAGGGCCTCGGGGCGGAGGCGCCGGTTCCGCCTGGAAGCCATCGTCATGGTGTCCCCCGTGGTGTACCTGGTGGCGGCGGCTCTGCTCGTCGGCCTTATCTTTTTCCTTACTCGCAGCCGGGGCCGGACGACAGCAGGTAGGAGATGCCGCCGCTCCAGGGCCGGTGGGGCCGCGTTCTCTGGCTTCCTGAGCCTTGGTAGGCCTTCGCCCGCAGCTCCTGCGCATGCGCCAGCCTGCCTAGCTGGGCTGAAGAGCAGCTCGGAGCCGGATTGCGCTCGTCGCGCTTCAGGCCAGCCGCGCGCCTGCGCATACGTGCGCGTCGCGGACCCGGCGGCGAGTCGCAGTGCCGTAACCCTACTCGCGGACGGGATGGCAGCGCCCCTACACCTTTCTCCCAGCCTCAAAGACAGCCTCACTCAATTCCTCTCCTCGCCCCCCGGCACTCTAGACCCAGAGGGGCCGGTCCCCTGGCGGACATGCTCCCATCCGTCATTGGGGCTGTCCCCCTGTGCGCCCCTAGGAGAGGCCGCAGGGGTGTCCCGTCCCTCCCAGGCTGGCTGCGGAGCGGGTGCCAAGAAGGCGGCACCTGAATGTTTTGTGCCTACCTACGATCTATAACTGCCTGAAGCTCTCTCCTTACCCTTCAAGGAGAGCACCTATGCACCCTTCTCTCTCTTCTGCGCCCCGACCAGGAGCTCATGTTATCTGCCAGGGTACAGAACAGATACGCCTGTCATCCTCCATCCCCCATTTCTTGTCAGTATGTGGGTTTGTGTATATGTCTCTGCCCCTCTCTGGACCCACAAGCTACTTCAGAGCACCTACATGCTCCAAGGGCAGGGGAGAGAGAGCTGAGGTAAGGCAGATGGCCAAGAAATCTTCCTGGAAAGGAAGCCTCAGACCTCAGGTGTGCTCCGGGTTGGCGTGCCTTATAAAACTGTGGCAGGTGGTGTTAGGCAAGAAATAAAAGCAGTCCTGCAGTGAGCATGCAGATGTGGTCTAGAGAAGTCAGGATGAGTTTCCTGGAGGTGCTCCTCCTGCAGGGTGGTAGTCTTCTGACAGACCAGCTGGAAAGGTATCGACAAAGGCAGGAGGAAACAGGTGATCTTGCTGCAGAAGACCAAGGTGTGGGTCTGGGTTATAAAGGCCTTTATGATCTGACAGATTGGGGCTTTGTGCTTCAGGCAGCCGGAGCCTGGAGGAAGTTGAGTGGAGGGTGAGGCTTCCAGGTTGCTGCTCCCCTGCCATCAGGTGGGTTGGGCTACTAGACAGTTGTGTGATTCCTCTCTTCCCTACAGCTGGCCAGGAACCATTGCACAATGAGGAGCAGCCGGTAGTAACAGGCTCAGTGGCCCAGCCTCGGCCCCTGGAACCTGAGGAGCAGAGAGTCGGGGGCAGGCCCCGGCGCCGGAGAGACCTGGGCAGTCGCCTGCAGGCCCAGCGTCGAGCCCAGCGTGTCGCCTGGGCAGAAGTGGATGAGAATGAGGAGGAGGCCATCATTCCAGGTGAGAAGGGCCCAGCCTGGAGGAGAAAGGGGCTGGTTTAGGGCATGAAGGGTAGAAGAGTGGAGTGTGGAACTACAGTGTAGGAGACCTGTCTGAGAGCCACAGGATAGGGTTGGGGGAGGGGAGACTTGGAACCCATCCTTTGGTCCCAGTTCTGGACCCTGACCCCTATTCCATTGGGCCAGCCCCCTCCTCCTTCATTTTGGCCTTCAGTGTCTAAGCAAGAGGGCAGGCGTCTTCAGATTGACCTAGAGAGTTCCTCAGCCCACTTTTTATATCCCTGCACCTTACTGGTATGGGCACAGTCAATTTCTGAGAGCTTCACCCTAGGGCCAGAGTACCTAGCCAAGAGCTTCTGCAGTTCCTGAGGTGAGGTCACCTGTAACCCTAGAAGGGTTTGGGGATGGAGACATTTTGTTGACAGAGCTTCCATATCCCTGGGAGACCAACAGAGCCCCTGGGATTGTGGGGAAAAAATATCTCTTCTACAGTGCTCAAACCTGGCTTGAGCCGGAGGAAGGGGCATTTGAGGCCTTTGCCCTGTACTTTTGGGAATTAGCCCCTTTGGCTCAAAAAAGAGGCACTCTGTGGTGCCATTCCTCTTGTCTCAGACTTGGGATCAGACATCTCTGCTGCTTGGGCATTAACGGGTTTTTTTGTCTTATTTTGTTTTTTTAAATTTTATTTATTTGAGAGAGAGCATGCACACGTGCAAGGCATGCGTCGGAGCACAAGCAGGGGGAGGAGCAGAGGGGGAGGGGAAAAAGTGTGTGTGGGAGAATCTCAAGCAGTGCCGTGCTGAACGCAGAGCCAGGTGCGGGGCTTGACGAGATCATGACCTGAGCCAAAATCAAGAGTTGGACACTTAACTAACTGAGCCACCCAGGTGCCCCAACAGGTCTTTAAATTTTAGCTGACCCTAACTTTAGGTAGTCTTGGGGTTGGAGCTGTCTTTTTGGCCAGGGGCTGAGCCTAGAACCCTCAGCAGTTCCTGACCACAGTGAGGACAATTTCAGATATGAGGCAAGGATACATTTCCCCATGAGGCCGTCCTTCCCTGGAGGTTTGGCTCAGAGACAAACCAGAGAAGTCTGCAAGCCCAAACATCCCTGCCTGTGATTTTCAGATGCTCGGATACTGGAACCTGACACTTCCCTTTTTATGGCGATGCAGCATCTAAAATTACTGTCTGTTCCCTTGCCCCATGATTCCCTCACCTTTCCCTTCCCTTACTCTCTACCCTCAACACGCCCCCCCCCCCACACACACACACTCTTACGTAAACAGACTCAGAGTGTTAATTTCTGCGTTCATGGTAGATGTCTGTGGAGGGCAGAGCTGGGCTACTGACATTTGCAGGTGAGAGGAACGGGATCCGCCGCCATGTGGAGAGGGACAAGGGGTAGGATGGATCCATCATCATCAGCCCTCTCTAGGACCTGATGTGTCTTTCTTTGGCCATACTCAGCCCGGGAGGAAGAAGGTATCGAGAAGCCGGTGGAAAGTCACCTGTCAGGGAAAATTGGAGCCAAGAAACTACGGAAGCTAGAGGAGAAGCAGGCGCGAAAAGCCCAGCGTGAGGCAAGCAGGAGGGTTGGGGTGCGAAAGGGTCCTGCCTTCCTCATCCCCTATGTCAGGCCCTCCCCTTGGGCTCTTTTCGTGCTGCTTGCCTGACTGTCTCTTACAGCCTTGGTCCATGGTCTGGCCCAAGCTTGGCCCCCTGGCCTGTTTGTGAGATGGGCAAGCTCTGGTGGGGGGTAGGGATGTGCTCCCTATGAAGTTCTCTCTCCCAGGCAGAGGAGGCTGAGCGTGAGGAGCGGAAACGCCTCGAGTCCCAGCGGGAGGCAGAGTGGAAGAAAGAGGAGGAGCGGCTTCGCCTGGAGGAGGAACAAAAGGTGAGAGAGCCCCCCCCCCACCCCATCCTGACCTCTGACCCATGAGCGGGCAGCCTTGCTTCTCGTGCAGCTCCTTACACCTCTGACCTAGAAGATGGGCCTTGGACTGGGTTCAGGAGCAGGCCCTGGTTTATTTGGTCCCTGGACTCTAAACACAACCTGTGTAAAACCGCTGCTGAAAAGCAGAGCCAGAGACAGGCATTTTTGTGCATGTGATTTATTGAACATGCCTGAAGCATGTAAAGAAAATTGAGATGGTTGGAGTGGCTGAAACAAGATAAGCAAGAAGGAGAGAAATCAGAGAGGGAGTAGAGTCTGGATCCTAAAGGCCTTGAAGTTGTTAAAGGTCATTGTAAGGACTGATGGGTCCTGCCTGAGCCAGGTCCTGTTTAGGGCCTGACCTGGAGGAAATAGATGCTCAGAGAATGGGAACCACTGCGGTAGAGGTGGCTAATGAGCATTTGTTTGCCAGATGCTTCCTTCTTTCTGAGAACCAGTGCCCGAGAAAGGGAACATCACAAAGGTGTGATGTGCATAAAGAGTGAGAGCCAGGGCTGCCCCAGCTGGTAAGAGCTCGCTGGTGCCTTTGACCTCTCACTGGCCCTGCCATCCAGGGACCCTGGATGGCAGGGAGCCTGGCTTTGGGTGCTGTAGCAATGGGCCAGAACACAGCAGAGAAGGATCAGGGGAGATTTTGCCTTTATTGTTTTTTACCTTTCCGAAGGTGATCCTGCCTGATAGATCTCAAATGCTCTGGGGTTCTCCTCCTCTGCACAGTTTCCCTTGGGTTAGCACCTTACCTACCGTGGTGTATTTCCCACAACAGATATCGATACATTGTCTTAACTAAACCCCACACATTATTCGGATTTCATTAATTTTCCCCCACTGTCCTTTTCCAGGGTCACTTCCAAGACGACACATTACACTTAGTTGCCATGCCTCGTTAGGCTTCTCTAGGTTGTGACATTTTCTCAGATTTTCTTTGCTTTTAATGATCTTGATAGTTTTGAGGAATATTGGGCAAATATTTTATAGAATATTCCTCAGTTTGCTCGACTGATTTTTTTTTTTTCTCGTGGTTAGACTGGGGTTATGGATTTTTGGGAAGAAGATCACAGATGAAGTGCCATTCTTTTTTTTTTTTAAGATTTTATTTATTTATTTGAGAGAGAGAGAGTACATGAGGGGGGGGAAGGTCAGAGGGAGAAGCAGACTCCCTGCTGAGCAGGGAGCCGGATGCAGGACTCGATCCTGGGACTCCAGGATCATGATCTGAGCCGAAGGCAGTCGCTTAACCAACTGAGCCTCCCAGGCGCCCCTGAAGTGCCATTCTTGACGTAGCATATGAAGGATACGTGTTGTCAACTTGACTTGTCATAACTGGTATTAACCTGGATCGCTTGGCTCAGGTTTTATTTGCCAGATTTGTCCGCTGTAATGTTACTTCCTCCTTCCTGTAGTTCTTTGGAAATAAGTCACTATGCGCAGCCCACACTTAAGGGGTGGGGAGTTATTCTCCACCTCAAGAGCAGAGTATGCAAAGTATCAGGAATTTTTCTGTACGGAAGATTTACCTTTCTTCCCTGTGTATATATTTAACTGTTTGTGTATACCAACGTGGACTCATGGATATTAGTTTTGTGCATTACGTTATGATGTGGTATTATCTTATTTATCTTGTTATGTAGGTCATCAGGAGCTCTCGCAGTTGGCCCCCATGTACCTTTGACGTAACCTCATTGTTTTGTTTTCTGAGTACTCTCTTACTTTTTGGCATTGCAAGATGCTCCAGGCTTATTTTGTATATTCTCTGTCCCAGCTTTAGCTACGTGTTTTAAAAAATCTTTTTGAGAGCGGTGGAAAATAGGATGACGTGGAGGGAAGCTATGGCACTAGGTGGTGGTGGTGATGGAGTGACATGGATGGACTGAGAAGTTTTCCGGAAGTTGAAGGCAAAAGTGGTAGATAGGACTTTATTTCTGACCAGCGGGCCCTATGGCTGTATGACTCACTGAGCCAGGGACCCAGGAGGAAGACCGGACGTGTGGGGAGTAGATCACAGGGTCTCTCTGGGACGTACTCAACTTGAGGTGCCTGTAAGATGGCCCAGTGGGTGTGTCACGTGGGAGGAGAGATTTGGGGCAGGGGTACAACTGTGGCAGTTGCTGGCAAGGAGATGGTGGTTGATGCTGTGGGCATGGCGAGGTGGCCTGAGGAAGGGGAGGATGGAGGAGGGACAGGGCTGAGCAATGGAGCAGGTGAGGAGAATGGCCCAAGGAGCAAGAGGAAACCCAGGAAAGGGTGGGATCTGCCAGCCCAGCAGGGAAGAGGAAATGGTCGGTTCTCCCCAGCACCACTGAGAGGACAGGGTTATGAGGCTGATCGCTGTCCCTTGGATTTGGTGGGATGGATGGTGGCTGAGACCGTAGCACTTGTTTCAGTGGGGTTGAGTATCAGAAGCCAGACTGGAGTGGGTGGGAGCCTGGGTGTTTGTCCACAAAGTTTGGACATGACAGGAAGGGGGGGCGGTCATTGGCAGGATTTTAGAGGAGAGGCGGCTGAGCAGCACACGTCTGGGAGGTCATGGAACTGCTGAGAAGAGGGGCCTCTTGCCTGTAGCTCAGCTTGGGGTTGAGTGAGCAGTGTCTTGAAGGAACTCTGTCCCTGAGAAAGGGCCGGACTGTATGCCCTGGTGCCCTATGGGGGCAGCAGAGCCCAGAACAGGGATGGGGTGGGCATCCGCCCCCAACGTACCTGACTCTTGCCCACAGGAGGAGGAAGAGAGGAAAGCCCGGGAGGAGCAGGCCCAGCGGGAGCATGAGGAGTACCTGAAACTGAAGGAAGCCTTCGTGGTGGAGGAGGAAGGTGTGGGCGAGACCATGACTGAGGAACAGGTGGGCCCGCTTCCCCTGGGAAGCTCATCTCTGCCCACCAAGCCCTCCACCCCATCCCAAACACCCCATCATTCCCTGCCTGCCGCCCTTGTCAGGCATTGAGAGGTGCGTGGGCATCAGGCCAGGCAGGCTCTAGTGGCCAGAGGCCTTGTCCCCAGGAGAGGAGGCGGTGCCTCCGAACCCCTCACTGTGGGAAGCTCTGCTCACGCAGATGGCAGGCAGGTGGGTAGGCATAGACCCCTGTAGCCCATGCAAGGGGGACACTTACCCCAATTTCTCTGCTCCTCTAGTCCCACAGCTTCCTGACTGAGTTCATCAACTACATTAAGGTAAGAAGCCACAGGACAGAGCCTGGGCGTTAGCTTCCTGCGTCACGCGTGTGTGTGGTGTGTGCGCGTGTGTGCATGTGTGTCATGTGCACTCTCTGGGCATGGAGGAAGTGGACCCGAGCTGGGGCTATCGGCGGCTCACTCGACCTCATGCCGGAGTGGGCAGGGGACCTGGGAGTCTGAGCTGCCTGGTCCTGGCCATAAGAGCCCCTTCTTTGACAGTGGAGAGGGACCTGGTCTGTGTGGGAGGCCTGAGCTTTCAATCACTTCCTCACATTCAGGGTTTGACAGTCTCCCTGCTCCTCAGACCCCATGCTCAGTGAGTCACTGTGTTTTCAAGTTTCTTCACATGTGTTTTCTGTCAGTTCTGTCACACTGAGTTGAAACAAGCATCCCCTGCCACGTGTTCCTGATCAGGAACTTGGGTCTTCAGGGAAACAGGATGATGTTTCCTTTGGAATCTAGGGCGGGGCAACACGTGTGGCCCTCTCTGTCTGTAGCCGTGCTGGGTACTGCTCCAGGTTGCATAAGCACGTCCTGCTCTGCTTTGCTGCTAAGCAACTTCTCTCCCACGAAAGATGCGACGAGGGGAGAGGTTTTCAAGTGCAGCTCAGAGGTGCAGAGGCGGCTGAGGGAAGGAGTGCAGAGGGAGTGGGGGCGGTGGGGGGGTGCTATTAGGGGGTGCCAAGGAGCCAGGCCTTGCATAATCCTCCCCCCCGCCCTTCCAAAGGGAGCAGGGTTCAAACTCCCAGTGGTACCTCCCAGTGGTAAGGGGCTGGGCTCATAGCCTGGGGGCCTGGTACTCCTGTGGGGGAGAGAGCTCATTTCCCTCTGATGGAACCCTTTTCCACCCTGACACACTCGGGGGTGACAGAACATCTCCCACACTTTCCTGCTGCTGTTTGGAACTCGCCATCCCCACCTACCCAGCGGGCAGCGACAAGTCTTGAGTCTGCCCTCCAGAAAGCCCTCGTCCACAGTTTCAGTTCCCCCTCTCCTTTACAGAGACTTGAGTAGAGGTCCTAGGGGACAAGTCCAGGCCTTGCTTTCAGAGGCTCTCTGGAGAGGCCATTTTCTGGGCTTCTCCAGACTCTTCCGGACTATAGAAGTCTTTCCAGCCTGTGCAGGCTGATCCTCCTAGAGCTGCTGTCTTCAGGGAGAAGGAGGATTTCCAGAATTCAGCCCACCTGCCTTCTTCCAGGCTCCAGAGGAATGGGCCCTTTAATCCTAGGATTTCAGAACTGGAGGCATGTTTTTGTGCCGGGCATAGTTTATGTGCAGCGTAAGCCTAACTTGCTCTTTTCCATCCTCTGTCCCTTCTGAGTGGGGCTGAGTGGGCTGGTTGGTTTTCGTAAACGTACTTTTGGCCCTAGCATCCCCTCAGGCCAGGTCTTCAGGGACAGCTGGGGTGACTCTGTGGTCCCATTCTGAGCTGTCACTGAGAACCCAGTGTCTGCTCCCTGCTTCGTAGGTAGAGGCCGGCTGGCCAGGTCACCTTGTGCTTGCCACCCCCTGGCCCAGCCGCCACCCACTTGGCTCCCTGCTTGCACATTCATTTTGGCATTTTGAACAGTCACATGCCATTTGCAGCTGAGGAGGCATCACCGTGTCACTCCTCCCCCAGCTCATTTGCTATGGAAGATTCCTGGAAACGCAAATGACCGCCTTCTCTCAAGTCACATGCCGTCTGTCTGAGGGGGAGGCAGGGCAGATGCCTGCGTAGGACCCAGGGGTGGACCCTCGGCCGCACCCCCACCCCCCACCAGGAACTAAAGTTTCTACCAAGGGGGTGAGGGAAGCACATGGAGCATGGCCGTGTGTGGAAGGCCCTGAGCAGATTGAGTGACAGTGATTTTAAGGGTGGACACGGTGCCTCAGGAGCGGGAAGAGGATGGTGAGCAGCGTGGCGTGTCAGGGTGGGGAGCTCTAGGCCAAGGCGGCAGTGAGCAGAGGTGAGGCAAGAACGACCTATACCTCTCCTACCAGGACCCTGGCTCATCGGGGCTTCTCATCTGCTCTCTTCTTGTCCACATTCTCGCCTCTCTTCTCACCGGCTCTGAGCTCAAGGGCAAGAGCAGTGTCTTGTTCACCACTGCACGCCCCACATTTCTCAGCCTCCTCGTCCTGGCAGGTCCTCAGCAAACACGGGTCCTAGTGACGGTGGTTTAATAAGCTTTTGGCACTTGTCAGCCCCTCCCTTCATCTCTGTGGTGCGTCTCCTTCCAGCCTGTTCACAGTGTTAAAATGATTCGGCCTGGTGCAGAGGAGAAGGTAGCCTCTTGTGCTCGACTCTCCATGGGTGCCTGTCCCAGGGTAGTCCCCAGGCCAGGACGGGACTCTTGGGGCAGGTAGTGGTTTGGGCAGATCCCTCCCAGTAAGCAGGGGCATGAGAGAGTCGAGTGTGTGTGTGTGTGTGTGTGTGTGTGTGTGTGTTTGTGTGTGTCTGTGTACACGTACACGTACAGGGAGCTGGGAGAGCGTGAGTAGTGTGTGAGGCAAACAGGGCTCTCCCTTGGGAGCATGGAACCTGCTTAGCCAGCCACCCAGAGCAGAACAGGTGGGTGTACCAACCTCAGAGGGCTCCTGTGCTGAGAGGCTTTCTCCTCTCCCCCTCTTTGCAGCAGTCCAAGGTTGTGCTCTTGGAAGACCTGGCTTCCCAGGTGGGCCTGAGGACTCAGGTAAGCCCTTGAAGGTGGCCTGCTCTGTGGAATATGGCCATGGGGTCTATACAGCTGTCAGAGGGGGACTGCCTTAAAGATGGGAGTCTTAAGGCCCTCAAGCAAGAGTAGACTGTAGGAATTTTTTGGCACTCCAGGAATCTTGTCTTTTTGTTAGAAGAAAAAGAAAAAAGCCCAAACCCCATCACTCCAGCGGCCCCTGTAAGCGAGGCAGCCCAAACCCAGTTACCTTGACAACTCTCTTGCAAACAGGCTGCGTCAGCCTTCACAGCCAAATGTCCCCACCGCTCCCCTCCTGCCTTGAAGAAAGCCTCTCTCGGGGGTCTTACAGGGCCCCGGGACCATGGCCCTGTCTCTCCTGAGCCCCTCCAGAGGAGAAACAAAGAGTTACATTGGGGATGGCCATGAGAAGGAGAGGAGGAGATTTGACTGTGGTGGGAGGGGGAGTGCAGCTGTCTTTTGGGACGGAAGTGCCCATCTCTGCTCTGAGACCTCTTCTCCTCCCTAGGATACCATAAACCGCATCCAGGACCTGCTGGCTGAGGGAACTCTGACAGGTGAGGGGGTGAGAGTCAGTCACCATAGGCCCTGGCCTTGGCGTGTGTCTAGCCACAGAGGGCCTGCAGGGATTTGTTGCAGAGGCAGGATGACCCCCCCCCTCTCAGCCCTGGGTGGGGAAGTGATGTGCAGGAGGGGCGCTGAGCAGAGGGAGATGCCCAGGCCTGGGAGTGGCTCGGGGTGACAGGGACAGGCCAGGGGAGCCCAGTCAGGTAGGCAGGCCTGGAGGGCTCTGAGCCAGTTGGGAAGGGGTGGGTGGGTGGGCATTTTCAGGCAATGTCGGGGAGGGGGCCCTAGAGGGCTCAGCCCCACAATCCTTCTGTCCCCACAGGTGTGATTGACGACCGGGGCAAGTTCATCTACATAACCCCCGAGGAACTGGCTGCCGTGGCTAACTTCATCCGACAGCGGGGCCGGGTGTCCATCACTGAGCTTGCCCAGGCCAGCAACTCCCTCATCGCCTGGGGCCGGGAGCCCCCTGTCCAGTCCCCAGCCTGACCTAGCCCTTGCCTTTTGGACTGGGAGCTAGCACAGCCTACCTGGCTGTACAACTTGAACCCTCCCCTCCACCCTCGGGGAGAGATGGAATGTGGCCAGGCAGTTATAGATTAAAGGCCTGTGAGCACTGCTGAGCTTGGTGTGGCTTGGTGTGACAGAAGGCCTGGCCTGGGATCCCAGGTGAGCAAGCGAAGTCTAGTCCTGAGAACAAATCTTGGGGGTGAATGGGAGGAGCCTGTGGAGGCAGATGAAAGTTCCATTCTTACCATGCATTCATTTGTTGAAAAAGAATATTGAGCGTTTATTGTGTTCCTTTGTACCCTACAGAGATGAGGATTTCTTTCCCTCCCCCGCTTCCCAGAGCAAAAGTGAGCAACCTTAGGGCAACATCTCCCCTAACTGGGGAGGAAGGTCTCACTATTGGTTGTATGGATGGTTTCAGGAGCCCTACAGAGGGCTGAGAGCCCTTAAGGAGAAGAGGGAAGTGCCAAGGATAGAGTCCTAAGGAACATCAGCCTTTGAGGGGGAGGGAAGGGAGGGACGGAGGCTAGGCAGGTAGAAGGAAGCGAGGAACCTGCTTGAGCTGGATAGAGAGGTGCAGTGGAGAGATGCCCTTCCTACAGTCTGTCCCATGAATTTAGCTCTCTATCCTGGACAGAAAGTTTAAACGGTGTGGGTGATTCCACCCACTGGTGGATGTAAGGACCATATGCTCAGAAGTGGGTGTGATGGGAGATGTCTCTCTCCTATAGGGTCAGTCACTCCAGTTCCCGTGGGCTGTTCGGGGCGTGAGCATCCTGCTGTGCTGAGGGTGAGGCATGGGTTTAAATGTGTATTTATTATGCAAGGTTGCCCCTAAACATAGACCACCTACTTCCTCTGCCTGGTAGAGGAGGCAGCTTTCTGTTCCCACCCTGGAGGAAATGGTCTATGGAGATGGTGATGGAGACAGGACATCAGGCCGTAGGGTAGAGCCTTCCTGAGTGTCATCAAGGATGATTTTGACTCACTTGGTGCCATAAATATTAACTGTAGTGCCTAAATTCTAAGTGAGGCGTGACTACTGCTTCTGTCAGCTACAGGCACTCGGAGTCACCTGGAGCTAGGAAGGGCCACGTGCATTGTTTGGATCGCCATCTGGGAGCCCACAGTCCAGTAGGAGAGGGAAGAAACAGAGAAAGGTACCGGCAGTATGAGAAAGAAACATAAAATTATAAAGGGAAAAGAAAGCTTACAGTCTGAGTGATGCTTTTCAGCTCTGGTTGCTCATTAGAAGCCCCTGGGGAGTTGTCAGCAGTCTCATGCCAGGCTGCATCCTGAACCAGTGGAATCAGAATCTCTGGGGGTGGGGCCCAGGCAGCATCAGTGGGAGATTCCAGCGGGCGCCTAGGTTGAGAAGGTGGTGGGGGTGGGGTGGAGAGACAGGCCATCAAGTTACAAGTAATTAAAATCCCCTCTGGAAAGGGCTTCTCCCAGAGCAAGACGGCAGCTCCAGGTCTCCTCCACCCTTTCCCTCCACCCTCAGCCACTGCCATCGAGGCAGCAGGAGGACTGTAGCAGCTCCAGCTGCTCATTCCACCCTCAGGACATTCCACCCTCCATCCACAGGCCAGGAGGGAGGAAGAGGCACATCCCTTTCTCACAACCTGGAAGCCTTCTAAAACTCCTTATGTCCCAAGGGCTTAGTGTGGAGGAGAAAACCTATGACCCTTTGTGCATTTTTTAGTGATCAATCCACTAATCTAAGAAATTTATCAAATGAGCAGTTCTTGAAATAGTGATTGACATTTTTCTAAGTATGTATAAACCGCTTTCACAATAAATGGAAACTTTCAGGTTTAACCACTCATAGTTTTTCAAGCATTTAAACAGTTATTACTTAAATATTCTCAGCATTTAAAGTCCCCAAATTTAATGTATAGAATTATTTTAAATGCTTTAACATCTCAAACAGTAGACCAGACACATCTAGTAGTAGTAGAACAATGACATTACTGATCTTTGTGTGTAATACTGAAACTGATCATAAACATCTCAGTACCATGGATTTACATTTGCTTATTTACTAGCTCTGGTTTTATTTCTTTTTCTTCCTGAGGGTACAGTTTTCACTTCTCCTGGAGCCCCAGGGTGATTATCTCAGGTTGCTGAGAATGTATATATGAAAGATGAAGAAGCAGGGACCCAAGACTTGACCTTGACTGTGACCCTGAGTCCTTTAGTTGTGTGGCCCCTTTTGTTCACCGACTAAGCCACCCAGGCACCCCACTCCTCTATTTTTATATTGAAAGTTTCTCATAACAAAAAGCTTAAAACTAAACACAAGGCGGTGGGGGGGGCAGGTTGTGCCGGGGTGGCTCAGTCAGTTAAGCATCTGCCTTCGGTTCAGGTCATGATCTCATGGTCCTGGGATGGAGCCCCATGTCAGGCTCCCTGCTCGGTGGGGAGCCTGCTTCTTCCTCGTGCTTTCTCTCGCTCGTTTGCTCTAGCTCTATCTCAAATAAATAAATAAAATCTTTAAGAATAAATAAACACAAGGGGGCCTGGCTGGCTCAGTCGGTGGAGCATGTGACTCTTGATCTCAGGGTTGTGAGTTCAAGCCCCATGTTAGGTATAGAGATTACTTAAAAATAATTTTTTTTTCAATTTGAAAGTAGTCCTTTATTAGTTGACCAGATTACAGAAGTAATCATGGTAGAAACTTTAGTTCGTCCTTCTTTTTTTTTTTTAAAGATTTTATTTATTTATTTGAGAGAGAGAATGAGAAATAGCACGAGAAGGAAGAGGGTCAGAGGGAGAAGCAGACTCCTCGCTGAGCAGGGAACCCGATGTGGGACTCGATCCTGGGACTCCAGGATCATGACCTGAGCCGAAGGCAGTCGCTTAACCAACTGAGCCACCCAGGCGCCCCTTTAGTTCGTCCTTCTAATAGGCCTATTGATGCGGTCTTCCCTGTGGCCAGCATCTCCACCTTCCACAAAATAGGTGGTCCTTTTCTTCAGTCCCCCTCGTGGAGAAGATAATTTGAAGGGCCTAAAAATAAAATATTTTAAAAAATAGGGGCACCAGGGTGGTGCAGTCGATTGAGTGTCTGACTCTTGATTTCAGCTCAGGTCGTGATCTCGGGGTTGTGGGACCAAGCCCTATGTCGGGCTCTGCTGGGTGCGGAGTCTGCTTGATGTTCTTTCTCCCTCTCCTTCTGGCCCTCCCACTTGTGTGTGCGCTCTCTCTCTCTAAAATAAATCATTTTAAAGTAAATAAATAAACACAATGAGCCCTAGATGGCCTCATGATCTTGGCTCAAGGTAAGCTTCAGAAAAGGGGATAAAAAAGCTGGGTCCTGTGAGGCCACCAGTAGTCTCCCCATTCACCTGGCAATTGAGTGACCCCCAGGCTACCCGGTGGCACCAGTGCAGGATGCACGTTGGATCTTTGTAACACTAGTTATTTAACACATTCAAAGTGTGTTTAAAAAAGCAAAACTAAAATTAAAATCTACGGAGAGCCTACTGAGTACGAGGCAGGATGCTAAGCACCCCAGGGAATTGCAGTGAGCAAAACATGACCCATGCCACAAGTGGGGGGTGGGGCAGTGGTACTAATCTGATAGGGAGACCAGCCAGCAAGTGCATGGCCAAACACTGATCTACGAGAAGGACTGGTGGCTCACAAGGAGAGGCCTTCTGGGCTGAGGGGAGGACAGGTGCGACAATGCAAAGGCTTGTGATTCACTGAGGGGACGTGGAATGTCGGCTGGAGGAACAGGAAAGCCTGGGGCAAAGGAGAGAGTAGGTGGAAAGGGAGGTTAGGACCTGGTTGGGAAGGGCAGGGATTACTGAGCCCAGAAATATGGGTGATATTTGATGGGGGGGGTGTTTAATAGTGTTTTGAATGAGTAACTCATTTTTTTAAAAGATTTTATTTGGGAGAGAGAGAGTGTGCACAAGCGGGAGGAAGAGCAGGGGAAGAAGCAGGCTCCCTGTGGAGCAGGGAGCCTGATACAGTGCTCCATCCTGGAACCCAGGATCGTGACCGGAGCTGAAGGCAGAGGCTCAACCGCCCCAAGTAACTCATTTCTTAACCCCCCTTTGCAATCATCATATCCCACAAACTATCATTACTCCATCAGCCCCTCCTTCTACACCCCCATTGTACCATCATCAGAGGGTACCACCTCAAGCCTTCACAAGTGCTTGCCCCAGACATCTCCCGTCCCAAGCCCCAGCCCCAAGATTGGAGACGACTATTCCACTAAGGCTGTTTTTTTCAAACTTATTTGACAGTATCTCTTAGTAAGAAACCCATTTTTTATTGAGGACTTAGTCCATGTTTGTATGCCCATGCATAGAGATAACTGAAGCTAAGGTGTCCAAGTGCTTTGCTTAGTGTGGTTAATGCATGTTGTCATTTGCTTCCCTAATCTGTGCTACTGCTGACGGTGAGTATGTTGATTTCATAACCCACTAACAGAACTCAGCCTACAGTTTGAAAAACAGCGTTCTAAGGAGCTTGTTCCTTTTCCGTTGAGGACTGGGCCAAGGATCAGTATCTGGGTGTAGAGTTGTGATCATATATAACTTGGTAGTCACGGGGTTGTACCAAAAACAATTTAGACTACAGTAGTGATGCCGAAAAATAGTTTTACTTGGTTTATCCTGACACCATACATAATTTTTGGCTTATTATACATTATTTGATTACTCTTAACAGCAAAATGCATAAGGCAACCTTATAAGAGAACCTATCAAATACTGTGACATTAAACTTGCTTAAATATGACCTTCTGGGGCGCCTGAGTGGCTCAGTCGGTTGAGTGTCTGCCTTTGGCTCAGGTCATGATCTCAGGGTCCTGGGATCAAGCCCCACATCGGGCTCCTTGCTCAGTGGGGAGTCTGCTTATCCCTCTCCCTCTGTCTCCTGGCTCTCGCTCTCACTCTCCATCTCAAATAAATAAATAAAATCTTTAAAAAAGTAATAAATAAATACAACCTTTTGCACATAACCTGTTAGATATACTGGCTGGTTTTAGTCATTTTTAACTTTCTTGACTTAAGTTTCTAATGTAGTGATACAAAAACTAAAACTAGTAATGCTCCAACTGTATTGTAACTGAGTAGCTGAGATTTAACACTTCTGTTGCTTTATTTCTCTTTATTTCTCATCAACAAGGTTAGTCAGGCCACTTTGTAGTTGAGCTAAACCCTACAGTTTATAGAACAGCATAGTTGGGGGTACATAGGCTTGATGTCTACTTTGGCAGCTGGCTTTATGTATTTTGTGGTTTGTGCATATTGCCTCATAT